ATCTCACGAGTCGTGACTCGTGACTCGCGACTCAACCTCCACCTTACCCGTTTTGCTCTCGTTCGGTGGCGCGTGGACCACACAAAATGGGTCAGGCTCCGTCTTCTCCGACGGAACCGAGTGGACGAGATACTTATTTCCGGCTATTGTCACCGGAGTTTGTCGATTGCGAATCGTTTGGTTTCGGAAATGTCGTTGTTGTTGCAGGTGGAGATTATGATCTTACTGGAGATTTACCGGGCGATTGCATCGCTCATATCTTTCAATTTCTCAACGCCGGAGATCGGAAACGATGTTCACTCGTATGCAAACGGTGGTTGTTCATCGACGGTCAGAATCGTTACCGTTTATCACTTGACGCTAGGGCGGAGATTCTCCCATTTTTGTCTAATATGTTCAACAGATTCGATTCCGTGACGAAGCTCACTCTTCGATGTGATCGGAAGTCTTTAAGCTTGAGCGATGAAGCGTTGGTCATGGTCTCGGTTCGTTGCTCGAATCTGACTCGAGTCAAGCTTCGTGGTTGTCGTGAGGTTACGGATCTAGGGATGGAATCGTTCGCTCGAAACTGTAAGAAGTTGAGGAAGCTCTCGTGTTGCTCATGCAATTTCGGTACTAAAGGCTTAAACGCGATACTCGAGCATTGCAAGTTTCTAGAGGAGTTATCTGTGAAGCGGATTAGAGGAATTCACGAATCAGCCGAGCCAATCCAGCTTCGTTCGTCTTCTTCACTCAGGTCGATTTGCTTGAAAGAGCTTGTTAACGGTCAGGTATTCGAATCTTTGGTTGCATCAAGAACTTTGAAAAAACTGAAAATTATTCATTGTTTGGGTAATTGGGATAATGTTCTTCAAATGAATGGAGTTGGAAGTAGTTCCTTGACTGAAATTCACTTAGAGAGGCTTCAAGTGAGCGATGTTGGACTCTATGCCATATCCAAATATCCAAATGTAGAGACTTTGCATATACTGAAAACACCGGAATGCTCGAATTTAGGTCTGGTTAGAGTAGCAGAGAGATGTAAGCTACTGAGAAAGCTTCACATTGATGGTTGGCGGTTTAAGAGAATCGGTGATGAAGGTCTGATGGCTGTTGCTAAACACTGCCTGAATCTGCAAGAGCTTGTACTTATCAGTGTTAATGCGACCCATAAGAGCTTGTCCGCCATTGCTTTAAACTGTGGGAAACTCGAACGGTTAGCTCTATGTGGGAGTGGTACAATTGGGGATACAGAGATTGCTTGCATTGCGGAGAAATGTGTGGCGTTGAGGAAATTCTGTATCAAGGGATGTCCGATTTCGGATGTCGGGATCAAGGCTCTCGCATTAGGCTGCCCGAAGCTGGTGAAACTGAAGGTGAAGAAATGTGAAGAGGTTACAGGTGAAGTTAGGGAGTGGCTGCGTGAACAGAGGAAGACATTGGTGGTGAGTTTGGATGATGATGAAACCAAAGGGGCGGTCATGGTAAATGAGGACGATCGAAGAGGTCTTGAGACGGTGGTTGAGGATCCGGCACCAGTGGCTGGTGTTGGTGCGGAGGTTGTAGGTGTTGGTAGGTTAGCTATGTTTAAGACAAAGTTAGGGTTACTTGCAGGAAAGAACTTGGTGGCTTCCACATTCAGGAGATGGTCTCAAAGTGAAGCTACAAGTTCTACATGATTACATCTTTTTAAAAGGGTCTTGCTCTTGCATATCAAAACAATAACCTAATTCTGTATTGCTTCTTTGAAACTTGTAGCTTTACGATTCTTTTTGA